GGCTTCTTGGCAGAAGTCCCATTCGCTGTCTGGGCTGCGTGTAGAGGGGGCAAGTCCCTGAGCTGATGATAAGCGTAACCAGCCTGACTGTGCCAGGATCACCCATACCCTCTTTGCTGCATTTTTTGCATTGTTTAATACCTACGATTTATAAAACAGCGTCAGTGGGTACGCTAAGAGAGGATAGCGTGTCACCTCTTTGCAAGCCGTGTTCTGAACCCAATTGTGTATGTACATTTAACGAATTAAACAACACATTGCATAACACATTCCACATAATGCATTACGAGACATTTCATGTGGTAATTCGGATCTCAGTGGCAATAGCAATTCACAGTAGCTCAACCGCACATAGACAGAGTGAAGAGAGTTGTGTACCACGGATGTGTCCTATGTCTCACGATACTTTCTGTTACCCTCAATTTTGAAAATTGTAATGAAAATCTTTTTGGGTAAATACTTCCGAAGAGGGCCGACTAAGATGTGATACATGTGATACCCTGTACACTTTCAGCGTGTTACGTTTACACCAAAACGATAGATGAACACGGCTGTGATGTATACATTGTGCAGAGTCTGGTGTTGGGGGTGTATACGGTGGTTGACGCATATTCAGCTTTGGCCACCACACATATAGACGCCAGGCAAAATTAACACGTCTTCTATTCCGGGCTTAAATATTTGAATGATACTTGGCCGTCGGCCCGTTTGGTTGCTTCTAATAGAATCAGCGCAAGAATGGGCCACCTTTGTATCACCTTCATACAGCTGGACAATGTAGTTATCTCCAAACGTCTAGAATTTACTTTCGATTTCAACTCCACCTCTTTTTTGATCAGCAGATTTTCAAAATATTGTTCTTGGAATATCACATTTAGAACAAAACCTTCGTATATTTTGTCCAGAATATGATATTGTATGAATTTACTTTGCTTGCTCACTTCCTCCCACACTCAATCACTCATTTACCTTCTTTAATTACTATATTTAATTAATTTACGCTTTAGTCAGGAAGTGCGTATACCGCGTATTATTGGAACAAACAAGTAGTACATCGCTAATATACAGATGGATGCTATGGTCATTATGTCAATGTGAGTGGTGGAGAATTCTATCCATCTTCTCACCTGTAATGTATTGCCGAGAGTGCTCACGCCATGTCTCAAGTACAAATAAATTGGATCTTAGCTAGCCGCATTTTGTTTATGGCTAAATACTGTTGTATTGCCCTTACGTATAAGTTTAAGTTATGCACACACATTTGATCACCATTTATTTCATTGAGTCGATCGGTGAGTGAGTGAATCTATCATCGCTTATTACGCATCCTGGTCATATTACTGCATTAATACAGCTGAAGCAAGATGACCGATTTGAAATCGTCATGTTTGACATTAGAGGTATCATCCTGTGTAGATATCGTGAGATGTTGCAGTCATCTCGTTCCACTTTGGTAAACCCCACGAGATCTCATGAGAAAATAGTCCTGACGCGCGCACGCGCCCGCTGATTGGATCGCTGGTTACAACTACACAGGAATATGAGAGTGCAATATGTCCACATTGCTTGATTTTGTGTATTATTTCCTCAACTCATGTTGACAAAGGAGAGAGTAAAAATTAGTCGATAATTTGGCAGCGTCGATGCGAAACAAATGCGAAATTGACACGGGGTGAACAAGGGATTGCATTAGGTCTCTCACTCCCTGTCCATCACTGGTCGTAATAGAGTGAAATTGACACACGGGCGGAAGAATTTAACAAAGTTTCCTTCCGCATTACAAAGGCGACGACTGATAAAATCTACATTACCTAGCTTGTTAAGATCGGCCCTTGCTTGATGCAGACAATGTACAGGTATCGATAGTGCCGCCAGATAAGGGTTTGGTTTAAATACGCTTCGACGATTCATAATACGAGAGCAACATAATTCTTTGACATTTGAGCCTTGGACGGAAAGGACATGTAAGCAAAGATAAAGCTCTGTTGTAGCTTTTTCCGCAGATAACATCTGGCGGTGGCAGTTTCAGTGAAAAGTACGTAACGTTGGGGGTCAAAATTGAAGACTAAAATAAACATCGATGACATTTTTGTTTTTGTCATGACAAAAATGTTAAGGAAATTTTGCGCAAAATAAATACATTCACATTGCTTAACACTCTCGATCCTAAAAGGAATAAATAACTGTATCAATACCAAAACACAGATATTTGGTTACACTTTGTTTTAACAGAACCACCAACGCAAACAGCCTTAAGCTTTCACATAGCCGAGCAATGTATCATCAAAGTGTAAATTGGCACCTTACTCATTTACAAATTAAAAATAGTTGATTACAGAGTAACAGAATATTCGTTCATATCCTAGCTACATTTCTTAATTCTTTTCTATATTTGATAAAGTGTGTAGTTAAATACACGGAGGGAGGACACGCCATGTGTCCGTCATTATGACAGTATTACTGGAACGACCCGACCCTTGTTTCAATGTAATCTACCACCCATTTAAACCCGCTGAATAAACATTTGTCTTGTATTCATATTGACATTTGACAATTGAGGCCACGTTAATGGACGTTTTTGTCAATTATAAACGAATCGGTCAGTATCATTTGCATACACGAATCGGTCAGTATTATCTGCAACGCTGGTTTAATGAGGACGACCTGAAACTAGGAACATTTGGGGTATAAGGCACTACCTTACGATCTCATACAATGGACGAAACACCCTCAAGATATATTTACAATATGACATGGTGACCAATACCCGAGGCTCAACTACAATGTAAATACTGGAACTCAGTAGAGCCGGGCAGTTGGCGACATGAAGAGAGGACAGTAGGAGTTATATACCCGTTATGTCAGAGGCCATAGTTCTTACTTTTCCTAAGGTGCCAGATTAGATCTTCACATATATATGGAAAAAACAAAGATTTATCGATTGGTAATAAAAGGGAAATCCCAATATGGGGTTTCTGATATATCAAACCAAATATTTCAGGAATCCCGTAACAAACCTTCACTTTCTTCTTGCGATCCACACAACAAATAATTCATTTGCTGCAGCATATTCCAGTGCGGCATCGAGATCTCGTTTCCTTCCATTAGAGTGAAATAGTGATCCGTTCATCTGAACACAAGACACATTTCTTTCAACCACGAGAGATGTACGGTCGAAACTGAGATCATTTAACGTTTCCTCTCACCAGATTAAATTTCAGCAAAACCTTGAGACACTTTTGGAAACGGAAATACGACAGTCTACTTTAAGGTTTTAGTAGAAGCCCAGGGAGTATCATGGATACAAAATGCTTTTTAAAAATCAATTACGAGGTATACCTTATTTTAGGGGGATTTGTTCATTTAGTTGATTTTGACTGTTATAACACGTTATTGGAATTACGTACTTACGTATTCTGGACTTGATAACAGTGTTTACTGCTGGTGGTGTCAACCGGATTAGTTTTACCTCCACTAAAATGGAGCATCAGAAAAACAGCATCATGGTACCCCTATAAATAACTGGGAAGTGTTTGTATGGGTGGAACAGGCTGTACTTCACTAATAGAGCTGCAAAGAAACAACAGCCAGAATGAAAATAGTATCATCGATGCCCTCAATACAACCTAGAACCATACACTGACCATCACACTCAGTCCAATCTAGAACTAAAACTGACCATCACCCTCAATACAACCTAGAACCATACACTGACCATCACCCTCAATACAACCTAGAACTATACACTGACCATCACCCTCAATACAACCTAGAACTAAACACTGACCATCACCCTCTGTACAACCTAGAACCATACACTGACCATCACCCTCAGTCCGATCTAGAACCATACACTGACCATCACCCCCAGTACAACCTAGAACCATACACTGATCATCACCTTCAATACCACCTGGAACCATACACTGACCATCACCCCAAGTACAACCTAGAACCATACACTGACCATCACACTCAGTACAACCTAGAACCAAACACTGGCCATCACCCTCAGTACAACCTAGAACCAAACACTGGCCATCACCCTCAGTCCAACCCAAAACCAAACACTGGCCATCACCCTCAGTCAAATCTAGAACTAAACACTGACCATCATCCTCTGTACAACCTAGAACCATACACTGACCATCACCCTCAATACAACCTAGAACTAAACACTGACCATCACACTCAGTCCGATCTAGAACTAAAACTGACCATCACCCCCAGTACAACCTAGAACCATACACTGACCATCACCCTCAATACAACCTAGAACTAAACACTGGCCATCACCCTCTGTACAACCTAGAACCAAACACTGGCCATCACCCTCTGTACTACCTAGAACTAAACACTGACCATCACCCTCTGTACAACCTAGAACCATACACTGGCCATCACCCTCAATACAACCTAGAACCATACACTGACCATCACCCCCAGTACAACCTAGAACCATACACTGGCCATCACCCTCAATACAACCTAGAACCATACACTGACCATCACCCTCTGTACAACCCAAAACCAAACACTGGCCATCACCCTCAGTCCGATCTAGAACTAAACACTGACCATCACCCTCTGTACAACCTAGAACTAAACACAGACATCACCCTCAATACAACCTAGAACCAAACACTGACCATCACCCTCTGTACAACCTAGAACTAAACACTGAAATCACCGTCAGTAGAACCTAGAACCATACACTGACCATCACTCTCAGTCCAACTTAGAACTAAACACTGACCATCACCCCCAGTCCAACTTAGAACTAAACACTGACCATCACCCCCAGTACAACCTAGAACCAAATACTGTGTTTTACCCTGATCCCTGTCCAACCCTCCCTAGAACCAAACACCCAAAGACACTACCTGGAACCAAACATCCCTTTCCTTCACCCGAGGGAAACGCAGCACCAACATTTACTTCCCTACCCACAACCCTAGGTGATCACAGATTTTTTACCACTATTTGGTCTTTTACTCCCAATGGAATCTGTTTCGGCAGATACTGGAGACATTGTTTCTGGCCTAGACGTTTTTCTATTTAACCTCCCGTCCCACACAGAGCCAAACCTTGGCCTTCACCCTCATCCCTACGCAGAACCAAACACTGACTTTCACTCTCACCCCTACGCAGAGCCAAATATTGACTTTCACTCTCAGCCCTACGAAATGCCAAATATTGACTTTCACTTTCAGCCCTACGCAGAGCCAAATATTGACTTTCACTTTCAGCCCTACGAAGAACCAAATATTGACTTTCACTTTCAGCCCTACAAAAAGCAAAATATTGACTTTCACTTTCAGCCCTACGCAGAACCAAATATTGACTTTCACTTTCAGCCCTACGAAGAACCAAATATTGACTTTCACTTTCAGCCCTACGCAGAGCCAAATATTGACTTTCACTTTCAGCCCTACGAAGAACCAAATATTGACTTTCACTCTCAGCCCTACGCAGAGCCAAATATTGACTTTCACTTTCAGCCCTACGCAGAGCCAAATATTGACTTTCACTTTCAGCCCTACGCAGAGCCAAATATTGACTTTCACTTTCAGCCCTACGCAGAGCCAAATATTGACTTTCACTTTCAGCCCTACGAAGAACTAAATATTGACTTTCACTTTCAGCCCTACGCAGAGCCAAATATTGACTTTCACTTTCAGCCCTACGCAGAGCCAAACCGTGGCCTTCACCTGCAGTCCAACGCAGAATCAAACATTGACTTTCTCCCGAGGAAGAACCAAGCCTCGACTTGCACCCTCAACCCTACACAGAACAATACACGAACCTCCACCTCAGCCATATGTAGTCCTACCTAGAACCAAACATTGACTTTCACCTATGACTCTACCTAGAACCAAACATTGACTACCAGTCTACCGTGGAGCACACCTTTTCCATACACTATATAAGCCTGCAGGTAAGCACCCATTGTGCATCTGCAAAGGTACACACCGCGAATGAAATATTCATTCAGGGAATTGGAACTATTTCAGTTACTTCTTTGTGTGACGTTTTTCTCAGCTGTGTCTTGTTCCACTAAAAGGTCGTCGGTTCACACACCGTCTGACTCCGCCAGGAGACAACCCATGTGTACGTTCTATATATAGCAGAGTTTAACAAGAGAGTCCTAACTATAGACAGGGCCAGCTCAGACCGGGTTCTATTTCTGGCCTGGTCGTATACATCCAATCATAACCAAGAAACTATATCAGTGTCATTTGTAAACTAGGGTAGACGTAGCCAAACCTGACTTCTGAGAGGTCTATTCAGAGACTGACAACGTGGGACACAACCCCAAACTGTATTTTTTTCGCTACCTCATTACTTAACGTCATCGATGCAATGTCTAATGTTACGGAAACGCCCTCCAAATAGTCCCAGAGCCTTGTACCCATGTCGAGCACAAAAAAATGTCACAAAATGAATTTAAGATGTAGCGAATACATCTTTTGAAGCTGCTTGCATTGTACTCGTCGTGTATAAATGATACTATAACACATACATTACGCAAACAAGTTGCTAACTAACCTGTTGTCAACTAGTCTATAGGTTAAATACACCACATTTATGCAAATACAGCGCCCCCCCCCCCCCCCCCCCCCCCCCCCCCCTGCGCTTCTCCAGGAGTGTACTTTTCAATTACTTAGATTGTGGATGATGGACATAAACAGCATCACTTTTCATGTAAACTGACGAAGAAACGTTACCAAACGGAAATTTGGACACGTTGGGTCCAAACCCCGAAAAGTGTTTAAAATGGTTGAAAATCAACAGCCCAAACACAACCAAAACAATTTGCAGAGTAACGAACGTGCCACAGAACCCAGATCAATGGAACTTGAGTTTGAAGTGAAACCTTGGTTGCCAACATGCATGCCAACCTACATAGATATGGGTATAAAATTCTCACCCAAACCGTTGGACAGTAGCATGCTAAGATTAACCCTACAACAGAACGATCAAGCTGTTGGTATGCTACATCAAGGAGGAACGCATGATCACGTTGCAAGGAGTTTTGTTTGCAGAATGATAGTCACCAGGCGCATGGTCTGATTCGTAACTCTACATGAGTATCCCCAATCTGTGGAATGATCCTAATACTGTGACGTCATCAGCTGAGACACTCATCACTTGAAGGAGATTTGCAGTAAACTATAAATATGGGATCAAATCATTTGTAAAATATATTAAAACAAGTATCATGAAAGAAAAAATTATAAAGGCAATATTTGTGACAAAAAGTATTAAAAGCTACTCGCGATCGTATTCTGAAACTACCGAGAGTTAAGGAGCAGAGTTGTCATCATGTGACGTGACGTCATAGTGGAGAGTTGATATGCAGACATCACTGTTTCTTTATGTGTTTAGTAGATAACTCGCGTTCGCCATGGCATCACCTAACAATGCCATTAATGGAAACGTTGAATGTTCTCGCAATGGCCTTACACATATTTGCCATATTCATATGAGCAAGTGCTCACTCAAAGTAGTCTTGACAACAGCGAGGAAAGCTAGGAAGATCTACCCAGTGAAAATGATCAGTCTGATGTCAACACGGAAAGACAGTCTGAGGTTATATGCTACCCTGACATTTCTAAATAAAATGGACGTTAATAATTCGTGAGACAGTTATTCTTGTGTAAAATATTGTCAAAATATTGTTGATTGTTTTTGTCTTTACGCCAAACAATTAGTATTTGGCTATTTAAGCTAAATTTGTTTCACTTTTTTTACAAATGAATGTTATGTGTTAAAACTGTTTTGTCTTGTGATGGTTGGTTCAGTTAATATCGCCGTGTAAACAGTTATAATAATGTGTACTTCACTGATCAATGGACTACCATGTATACTAGAGATAGACACAAACGAACAATAAAATATAAAAGAAAACCAACAGATAAATGAACAAAAGCTGACAATATACAGTAAAACATACCTGTCACATTATTATGTCATTATTATGCGATGTGGTACGAGGGATCTCAGAGGTCTATTTAGATGGTATTCTGTACTCAGCGATGTGGTACGATGAATCTCAGAGGTCTATTTAGAGGGTATTCGGTACTCAGCGATGTGGTACGATGAATCTCAGAGGTCTATTTAGAGGGTATTCGGTACTCAGCGATGTGGTACGAGGGATCTCAGAGGTCTATTTAGAGGGTATTCGGTACTCAGCCATGTGGTACGATGAATCTCAGAGGTCTATTTAGAGGGTATTCGGTACTCAGCGATGTGGTACGAGGGATCTCAGAGGTCTATTTAGAGGGTATTCGGTACTCAGCCATGTGGTACGATGAATCTCAGAGGTCTATTTAGAGGGTATTCGGTACTCAGCGATGTGGTACGATGAATCTCAGAGGTCTATTTAGAGGGTATTCGGTACTTAGCCATGTGGTACGATGAATCTCAGAGGTCTATTTAGAGGGTATTCGGTACTCAGCGATGTAGTACGATGAATCTCAGAGGTCTATTTAGAGGGTATTCGGTACTCAGCGATGTGGTACGAGGGATCTCAGAGGTCTATTTGTGAGTATTCGGTACTCAGCGATGTAGTACGAGGGATCTCAGAGGTCTATTTAGCGGGGGTTTAAAATTTGTTTTGAGTGGTATTGCAGTTTTAGGGGAGAGCAAATGCGACTCAGAGTGAAATCAGATGGTATTCGGGATTCAGGGTTTGCACCCTCAGAAATGAAGAAAAGTTAATCCTGCATGTGTTGTGACTAAAATAAGAGAGAAATTTCCTGCAGAATCAGTCAAGGGTTTGAAGTACGCAAGACCATGAATTGAATATGTGAACATATGTACACCAAAATTGTGCCAAATATATATAAACTTAGCATATAATCTAATCAATGTGCATGGTCCTTTGTAATTGCTGTACAGGAGTGGTCATCATGGATAACAATGAATGCCAAATGTTTAGGGGGTTTAGTTTAGAGGATCTGGCTCATATACAAATGCCTCAAAATGTAAGAAACACAAAACGGCATGTTCAGTCGGTTTCCATTTTCCTTCTCGCTGATGTTGTTTTATCCAAACTTTCTTCCTGGCTAAATCGGCCTTTTCGCTCGGAACTTTCAAGTAATGACACTTGTTACTTTTGTTTGATGAACTAGTACACCCCCACGCCCACGCGATACCCAATTGTTCGTCTTCAATACGCCGAGAATAACGGAAAATCACTTCATTGTCATGTAGATTAATGCACTGTAAACAAATCAAAATGGCGTCCGAAAGTGTTTTCTTCAATATATCTTCTTTAAGCACAGTCCCTCTGAGAAGAATGGTGTTGAATTCCATTTCTAAACTTAAGCCTTAGGTATAGCGATGATCTGATATCGTTCAATAACAATTAAATAGCCAATTCCCTTCCTATGATTTACCCACCTCAACTAGAAATAAAGGAGACCAGTGAGACACAATACCGACTGACAGGTACGATTTTCTGAATGAGTTTCATGTGCTGATTTCAGTCTTGATTGTTGATCGAATACCGAACAACTGACCCCATCCTAATAACTGTGGGCACAATGCCTTCTTTGTTTTCTTTGTATTCTCCTTCATGGCATAACATGTAATGATGTTCATGTAGAATTCATGTCTTTTGACAATACAAGTACGTTTATGTTGTATTTTGTTTCCAAGTAAGGGAACAACTGTTTCAGTCATATCACAGTGGGACAAGTTGAGTCAATAACCTTGACCAGGGATACGACGCAGTGACTTGCATGATGTGGCATCTTAAAATGGAAGATTTTAAATGATTATTAATAAATAAGTGTTACAGGAATACTGTCTTTCATGCTCACTCATCATCCGAAACTGGCCCCCACTGTAGCTGCAGTGAAATTACATCACAATGCTTTGAAGACCATTGTGACGTCATTGGTTACCATGACGTCACAATAAATGACATCACTAATGGCTCTGCTACTGAAGCTGTTGTGTACAAACGGAAAAAGTTGGAAGAATGATGTTGGATGATAAATATAATCTCACCCTCGTGTCTTTTGATGTCTCTATATGTCCATGTCAAAGATCATGGCTCTGCTCACGAAATACTATGTATGGATGAGGATAGCCATACAGACCTTTATTTAGAGGATGAGATATTTTTTTCACGCAGATGGTGGCTGACATATGTATTTACACAAAATTATTAAATGTGCTGGGAGATGAAATTTGTAGTCACAAACTGCAGAATGGACCTTAAGCCGACAGGTGTCAACTCCACTACTGTCGGGCGCAAGGAGTATCCCGCCTTGTACATTGTTTGTTGCCATGACGACGTTGCTCAAGTAAAGCATTGTTCTGGTTATAAACTCCAAACAACGATGTTAACGCTGTCCATATTTTTCGCTGTTCACTGATCAGACACGTGTCATGCGATGTGCTAGAATGCAGAGTAACAATCAAATCTGCGATGAAACGAAATAGATTTCAGGTAATGGAGTACGGTTGAGTATCCATAAAGGCGGTATTATGTGTGGTTATGTAGCATTATTGACCTTAAATAATCGAAAGTATCGAACTACACTCGAGTCAGATGATGGGTTTATTTCATCCCCTACATTCGGGTCAGACGATAGGTCTATTTTCACCCATTTCATCCGAGTCAGAGGATGGGTATATTTCCACCTCCTACACCCAGGTCAGAGGATGGGTGTACTTCCACACCTTTCATCCGGGTCAGAGGATGGGTATATTTCCACCTCTACATCCACGTCAAAGGATGACTGTATTTCCACACCCTACACCAGGGTCAGAGGATGGGTATACTTCCACACCCTACACCAGGGTCAGAGGATGGGTGTAT